GTATAGCATTAGTACGAAGTGTACTAACGCATACACTTGTTAATTATTGAATAATATATTAAAAAAAAGATACAGTATGCCAGACAGCATATCAATTGTTTTTTTTTATGCGTCTTCGCATGCCCTATCGCTCCGAAATAAAAAAAAGTGTGTTTCTGAGCACGATCTTCAAATTAAAAGTGTGTGGCAACTGGTTAAACGATGTTTTATTCTTTCGCAATAGATCAACAAAAGAATAGGAAATATGTAGAAGTACGAATAAAAACAGAAGCAGAGTGGCAATGAGTCGTAGATAAAAAAAAGTACGWTCGAGGCTGAGTTTACTGTTTCTCTCTCTCTCTCTCTCTCTTTTCTCTTGTTATTATTAATATCTGTGTATAATTATTATACTCGTAATGTTTTTATTTAAATATTATTGTTCCGTCATTTATCGGAACAGTAGGAGTAATATTATGCAACGGAAAATTCGGATAAGATACACATTTACAAAGATCCCTGACCGAGGACTTTACAAAAGAAATAGAGAGTATTTATTTAGGACCTTTGGGTTCTATTGCATCGGCAAGTATTCATAGATTATAAAGAACAAATATAGCTTTCACATAGGGCATCTTATCTCGAATTCCTAGAACTTGGAGAGTAGTGTATTTGATCAGCTATCCCCACTCCAAGGTCGCATCGGAGCCCTTTGGGGGGATGTATCGTGGAGAGGGGGAATGGCAGGTACATTTTAGCTCAAAATAAGTTAGTTGTCCATACTCTTCAGGCGGAATCACATCCATAAGGAAATACATTCCATAAGTTCAGCTAGTCAGTAATTCCGAGGTTATTACTAGTAATAAGCATCAAATTTAGCGCAGATCATTATACAAGGTCCAACCACCAAAATGATCTCTTGTGAWCGAGTAATAATAAATATTCATTTCATTACAATATTGAAGTGTATTATTTGGATTAACTCCTTCCGCCCTTACAACGCGGAAGTGGAAAGAGATAGCAGTCTTTCTCCGAGCAAAGTGAGAAAGCGCGTGCACGAAGGCGTGCACAGTACGGGAGTGGGAACCAGCACTACCGTACAACCGTAAACTTGGTCCTGCGAGTCGGATCAACCTAACATTAAATGGTCCTTCGAGCTGGATCAATCGTACAATTATACTATACAGTATATATACTGTGAGAATAGGAGAAATTCAAAGGATGTATATATTTAGTGTAAGAATAAAAGTTACAGGAAATGTAGCGTACGTGCATATGCCGTACATGACTAATAACAGAGTCATCTTACGATCACTTGTTATCCTCGATAGCGCGAAGTGGGGATTCCAAAGACAGTGAAGGGGTTAAGGAAAGGATAGAGGAGTGATGATTGGATTGGAGAGAGACAATATGCATTATGCGATGTTACGTTAAGAAAAGCGACGTGGAAAGAGATAGTTGAGTTTAGAAGTATAACGTGAAAAATAGTGCAAGATACGATTATAATTAATTAGTGATTCGAGAGATTATGGACATTTACAGTTCTATCAAATTATTGTAGTATAATATTTGAATGAAAATAATCAAAATATAATAATTATACAGATATTAATAATAGAAGGGAAAAGCAATAGTAAACTCGTCCTCGATCATCCTTCGTTTCGTTTAACACGGTCCCCCCCATGCTGTTTATGAGGAGATGTCATAGGCCACGTGTACCGTTTTCAGTACACGGTAACAAGTTTAATCATTTTCTGTAAATACTTGTTATTTTCTTCTTGTTTTTGAGAGAGAATATATATTATTTTCATAATTATAAGTATTAAAAAGACACAAAATACGCAAAATAACACAAATAAATAAAAATGATTTCTTTTTGAATAATTGAAATTGTGACGTTCCGCCACGATAATTCCATAACGGATTTATTTTCTTTTTCCTCGTCTAATCTTCCTTCAATATTTTTGAAATTATATTTCTTTTGGCGCGTTTGGGAAAAAATGATGAATGTGAATCTTTACGATACGCGTGCACAGCGACATAATATTAACAAGACGAAAAGCGCCGGTATTTACGATGCGAGCGCATAGCAGCATGAAATTAATCCTTTGGGTACGGATTTGTTTGAGAAAATATTTGCATGTGGAACTGATATAATTTTGGTTGCTTCGAGTAGTAGTACATTTTACATAAGAATTTATTTATTTCTAAAATATTGGTGAAATATGTAGTATTAAGATCTCTTCAAGAAATCGCTGCCAAACGAAATGGTGAATAGAAAACAAGTGAAAGACGACTCTCAGACCTCAAATGTACCCAAGAGTTTAATTTTTGGTTTGACGTCTTATACACGTCATTCGCTCCTAGGGGAAAAAAGTGAATGACGTGTCTCAGACGTCAAATATACCCAAAGGGTTAAAAGCATTAAGTATGTCGATAAATCTTCCTTTAAATTTAGTGAGGATTGATATCTATATTCAAGATATTTATTCTGATATTTCTATATACACAACACGTGTTTTATTTAATTTTTTACGTAAAGATTTAAATACTTCAATAAAAAACGACCAAGCAGTTCCTATAATCTGACATGGTACTACAATTGAAGCTGTATTTATACGACATTTAGATAACATTTCCACTAGACAATTTGTATCATATTTTAGCTACCATAAGTCTCTTATTCCTCACATGTCCATTGAATCACAACCAGATCAACTAATAGACGAAAATTAATTCAATTTCAATATGTAGAAATTGTATATACAGTAATATTGAAGTTATTTTTAATTATGTGAATAATCAACCAGGGTTTTTATGCCACAAGGGCGTTCCCTGACGAGCCAATAAAGTATTATACTTTTTATTGGCTCCACTAAGTGTTTTATTTCTTATTTTAAATAAACCTTTTTTCTTCCTCATCATAACTTATCACAATCGCCAGAGGACTCCATGTTGGAGAAATCTGTGCACAATACAATGTATAAATAGATTAGATTATACTTAATAATTAAACCTTTATCACTTGTATTTATTATCTTAATTTTATATTATTTTATCGTCTTTTCTACAAATATAGAATATATTGACGCGTGGGATACAAATTTTTGGAGTTATTTTAAAATTTTATTTTGAGGTTATTGAAGTTATATATAATATTGTTTTGTGTTACGCCAAAGAAGTATAACTTCTTACGTGCGTGGATAAATACATACACGCGTGTGTTTTTTTTTTTTTCTAATAAAACATTTATTTTTGCCATATTTTGTTGTTTATTATTACAAACTTTAATGCGATTAAATTAGATAAAAAATCAAACATATTAAAAAGTAATAAATGATAAACTGATCGTATTATGGGCAACCATTTTCCATGACGTATGAAAGGAGTTCGATTGTCAATTTTTGATTCTCTTTTATTAGTTCTTTAAATGATAAGGAGTCCCAAATTTCCTTACGATGATTTCTTATATAGAGCATACTCTTTTGTTTTAATTCCAGAATGTTAAATCTATCTGCGAGTCTGAAAAGTTTAATAACATTGCTCAGGTTTATATACCTTATTGCTACATTAATTAATCTCGTATTCAAATATCTCATTTGATACATATCCGTTGCTACTATTAAATTTATAAGAAAATCAACTCCATGTTTTTTAAAATTAATTTTGCCAGTGTCACCAAGATAAAGATATCTCAATATGATCTGAAATACCGCTGGATCCATTTCTTTGATATAAATGATGTTTTCATTACTTTCTCGCATATCATTTTGTAACACTGATGCGAATACAGGATTTCCGATAAGTAACGCTTTATGCGCAGAAAATTCTTCTCCCTCGACATTTATTTTCAAGTCTGTAAATTTTTCGTCCTCGTACATGTTTTGTAGATTGAAAAGCATTGTTAAATTTTCGTCATTTATACTCTCATAATTTTTTGTAGTATACGTGACAGTTACTTTACAATTTTGATTCGAATATGCACCTTTATTGTATCCTTCGATCGATAATGTTGGATTTTCTTTATTAATTCTTACACTTACATTAACATTTTGCTGTCGATTATACCATAAAATTTCTTTAAATTGCAGTTTATCAACATAGAAATTTTTGTAATCATCTTTTATGTTTAAAGAAAAAGTTATATTATTATCTATGATTTTTAATATTACACAACATTTACAATGTAAATCAGTGCCTTGTAATACAAATTCCGGAGATTTATATTGAGTACTATCACTACAAATTTGAACTTGAAATTCAAATATTGTCTGCATATTTTCTATTTCTTGAATATCATTATCAAGTAATAAACGATTTTTTCTTCTATCACTGGTCATTTTTTACACGTAGAAGAACTACCACTTTGATATTTATTCCACTTTAGAGGCTTGATCACTTATATATTATATTTTCCGTACTCTCAATATTGCACTAACTTTTGCAAATAAACCGTCGTCAAACGAACTTCAATGGGATATGGACGTGGTGTAATGTTCTTTTGATAAACGTGGTGCGCGGAGAGGAGGGGCTACTGATAATGTAAAAAGAGAAAGGATGAGAGAATGCTCATCTTATCGGAGTTTCTTTTAACAATGAACAAACTACCCTGGACCGTTCATTTGACCTCTTAAGCTAATACATATTCACACACAACATAAAAGACATAATTATCCTATAATTTCTTACGATAAAAATGACATTGTAAGTGGCTAATACCACAGTTGATTTTATTTACATTCTCAGCAATGTAATTGACAAATGAATATTCTTCAGTATTAAACTAAAAATCTATATTAGATTTAACACGCGTGTATATATGTATACACGTACGTAAGAAGTTATACTTTTTTGGCGTAACAAAACAATATTATATATAACTTCAATAACCTCAAAAAAAAATTTTAAAATAACTCCAAATATTTGTATCCCACGCGTCAATATATTCTATATTTGTAGAAAAGACGATAAAATAATATAAAATTAAGATAATAAATACAAGTGATAAAGGTTTAATTATTAAGTATAATCTAATCTATTTATACATTGTATTGTGCACAGATTTCTCCAACATGGAGTCCTCTGGCGATTGTGATAAGTTATGATGAGAAAGAAAAAGGGTTTATTTAAAATAAGAAATAAAACACTTAGTGGAGCCAATAAAAAGTATAATACTTTATTGGCTCGTCAGGGAACGCCCTTGTGGCATAAAAACCCTGGTTGATTATTCACATAATTAAAAATAACTTCAATATTACTGTATATACAATTTCTACATATTGAAATTGAATTAATTTTCGTCTATTAGTTGATCTGGTTGTGATTCAATGGACATGTGAGGAACAAGAGACTTATAGTAGCTAAAATATGATACAAATTGTCTAGCGGAAATGTTATCTAAATGTCGTATAGATACAGCATCAATTGTAGTACCATGTCGGGTTGTAGAAAATGCTTGGTCGTAATTTATTAAAACATTTAAATCTTCACGTACACAGTTGATGAGGACATCAGAATTTTCTGATTGTCAGTTGAAATTAACATTAAAATCTCTACTAAAAATTATCGGTAACCTATCCTCACCTTTACCCATATAATATGCCCCTCTAAAATTGTTATGTATGGAAATAGTGTCCGTTTTAAGAAATTAATAATATCTTCAATTTTTTGCATGTTTTTATTTATTACATACGATGGTGATTGATATAAAGTAACTGAACATCTTTAAAAACATTGATTGTTTGTGAATATAAGTAATAAAAGTTGTTTTTATAATCTTTTTAAAAGAATTTTTGTAATATTGAGGTTTACTAAGCTATGTATTATTTGTTTACACTATATTAATAAATTATGATTATATATATATACTTTATTATATATAATAGATAATAAAATATAAATAATAATCAATCAGATAATAAATATTTATATTCAATAAATCAAAAATTTATTTTCATTATTTTTGATATAATTATTGTTTTTATGTACACGGATATATAAAAATAAATTAATTTCTTATGAGTGTGAATTTTGCAGACAAATTTTAAAAAATTGATACCGCCTCACGTGAAATAACTGAAAAAAAATTATAATTAAAAAAAAGGCGTATCTAGATATAAGAATTTTGAACACGTGCTTTTTTAACTATTTAAAAATTATATTTTTTAAAAAATGAGTCACCAGCAATGAATTTACCAGCAATTACTTTTAGATGAAAACATATCAAATTAAAAAATTCACTTTGGCGTATCAATGCATTTTAACGTGTACCGAAACGTGTACACGTTCAATTCATAAATTTGAATTTCATTTTTAATACGTTGAGTTCCACGTCAGTCACCGGTGACTGACACGGCCTAAACAGATAGTTCAGTGTCAGTCATCGGTGACTGACGCAATGTTTTTTTAATACGAACGTATGTAACGCGCGTGGTCCGATGGGGGCTTCCTAAAGAATTCCTAATGCGCTCAACGTGTTGAAGAAACCGATTCAGTGGATGATGAAAATCCATCCAAATAATTCCGAAGATGACATTGATGGATAGAACAACATAATATTTGTTATAGACATAAAAATATATTATTTCTTAATTGCGTAAACAACTATTATTTTCTTTTATTAAAATCGTATTTCGCTTTAAACGAATAAAAAATACAAATACAAATTTCAATTATATTATTTTTATCGTCATTATACGTTGGTACATATTATTGTTACGCTGTCTGCCGGGATGTTATTACTGTAGAAAATGTCTGTGGTATAAAATGTAGGCTCCTAATAATAACATGTTAAAATTTCAGATTTGTTAAAATACATTTGCAATTCGGCAATTTTTAAAAGTGTCTGCCTGCTTCGGGGAATTTAAGGCAATGAATTGAAGTTGGTTTATAAGTAGATGTGGCTTCAGTGGAGTTGCGTGGGCGTGCAAGGGCATACGAGGTGCATGGAAGGGATATGGCGCGTTGAGTTATGTGCCTCGTAGGGATACGTGGTTAGTTCCAATCGGGATAGCTTAACCGTTTCAGTGCCACGGAGCGATTTTGCGCTTCTCCTCTGTCCCTCGAACAGTGCCAGCGCTCTAGGCTGCGAAACCAATAACCGCGACACGCTCAAAATGACAGAACAACACTGAATTGAAACAATTACAGCTACTGTATAAAGCTGAAAACAGCGCTATCGCGCCGCTTGGCATTTTTGGAGAGGGAATAAGACAAGCGCTATCGCGCCGCTTGGCATTTTTGGACGGGAAAACAGCAAAGACACGTGGCACTCAAATGGTTAAGATATAGTTCGTTCTGAAAAAGAGATAGTTACGCCATATTGACATTTATCAAAGATTACGATTAATAAGCGTTTTCATCCGACTATTGCGTTTACGTACATCGGGGACAGGGTCGTATGCTCGAGAAATCGAGGCAACCTGCGATCAAGGGAAAGTGCGTTCTTATTGTTAATTAGATTGCGGATCAAACTACACCTCGTGGCCACCACAAGTGTACGCTAGTGCGTTCTCAACCCATTTGCATCCAACCGCGGATATATCCGCGAACTGTGACTGTCCTGCTATCACCGAACCCGGATTATTCCGCGTAAGAAGTATTAGTTTTTCTATCTATGAGAATTCGGTCGGTGACAGTCGACAGTTGAACGTCGCTGATGTTTTACAAGGAGACCTTACGGTTGTGCCCTCACGGATTTTAACGAGCATTGGTATATTAGTAGTATACCTTTAGGGTGTTAACGTGGTAAAGTATTTTATCAAAATGCGAAACCAATTTTGAGAAAAATGCTTTTAAAATTTTTAATTTTTTGTATACATGTCTATATTATCTTAAATGCGATAGTTTATCAAGTATTGCGCTAGCGTAAGTAGTAACGTTCTCGCTTCTCGTGCTGCTAGTTAGTGTTAGATCTTTCATGGGGAAAGTCTTTTTTTAATAATTTTTTTCTCTATATATTCAAATTGATTTTTCATATTTTTTAATTTTTAAATATATACCGGAAAGAAAAAATTATTTATTACAGAAAAATTAGAAATAATAAATTTTTTACATCTTGCGCAAATAATAAAGGAAAATTGATTACTTAAATTACAGTTTACATTTTATTTTTTAATAGGTGTATGAAAATAGATAAATCTTCAATATACTAACAAATAACAATCGTATATATTCTAATCATTACCTATTTCATGTATAATATACCTGTTAAAAAATAAAATGTTAACTGTTATTCAAGGATTAAATTTTTTTTTATTATTTACGCAAGATGTTAAAAAATTTATTATTTCTAATTTTTCTGTAATAAATAATTTTCTCTTTCCTGTATATATTTAAAAATTAAGAAATATGAAAAAACAATTTAAAAACAGATAGAAAAAATTTATTAAAAAAAATTTCCCCCATAAAGGATCGAACATTAACTAGTAGCACGAGAAGCTAGAACGGTACTATTTACGCTAGCGCGCTACTTGATAAACGGTCGCATTAAAGATAATATAAACATGTATACAAAAAAATCAAAATTTTAAAAGCATTTTTCTCAAAATTAGCTTCGTATTTTGATCAAATACTTTACCACATTAACACCCTAAAGGTATACTACTAATATACCAAAGCTCGTTAAAATCCGTGAGAGCACTACCGTATGGTCTCCTTGTTAGCAGAAAAGCTAAAGAAGACGCATGATGCAAATGGGTTAACCCCTTGGCCTACAAGACATCTGCCGATCGCACGAACTATACTAAACAAGTAGTTCGGTTGCACGCTGTGCCATTTCGCTGTTCAAAAGAACGAACGAAGCTGAACCAATATAAAGAAATTATCCAATTTTGTCAGAAACAAATGATATAAACAAAATTCTGATTAAAACAGAAAACTTACATTCCAAGGAAAGATACTCGATGTGAAATAACTCCAATCGCTGATTCAAATAATAATATACGCGGCATTTTATGCACAGATTCCTAACCACGAGCGAGACTCGTGGTTATAGGCCAAAGGGTTAAGGGAGAGTGCGGACCTAACTACACGTCGTTCTATTCACGTTTTGCGGTGTAAAAGGAAGGTAAGAGAGCTGTCTAACGTGCAATTAAGGGTACGTAGTTGCGTTATTTCTTTCTTTAACACGCTCGCGAATAGTCAAAGTTTCAGTGAGGAAAAAAAAGTGACAGTCATTTGATTTTTAAATTAGTTGTGATATCCAAAATTGGATTAAACACATTTTATAAGGGCAGTCAGATTATCATATATTAAAGAATCAATTAGTCATTACCTTAACAGTTATAATAACTACAAAAACTTAAGGGTATATCAAATAAAATTCAAAATAATTGGTTTTGAAATTTGAATGCTATAGCATTCATGTCATTCTACATCATAATGAAAATGAATGCTATAGCATTCACGTCTGCGAACGCGTTAATCTATTTTCAAGCCACTTCGTTATTTGTATGATTTTTTTCTTCTATAATAAAGCATTCACTTTTCCCGGCACTTCGACTCAATTACCGTGAGAGTTTTTATACCAAGGCAAGTTGCTCTTTACCACGTAACATTGTGTTAATTGATTTATTTGTTCTATCCTATCTCACTCATTCCTGTGTTAAAAATATTACCGAACTCACGATATTAATCATTTATTATTTCCGATCTATTATTTTCTAAAAACACTACCATTATTTTTTTTAATAATTATAATAGTAGTAAATAATATATAAAATATCCAAATAGCAGTCTTGATTAAATGCTTTTAAAGTTGATCTAAATTTTGTACCTTTGCTACCTGAGTGACGCCACATGGACCGCCGTCAAGTTTAGTTAGTCTCCCTCTAATGTACAATAGGTATGAGAAATTGACTGAAGGAAATTTGAATTTTGGTAACTTTCATGCAATTTCTCATACCTACGATACCTTAGTTAGTTTCCGCCTAATGTATCGTAGGTATGAGAAATTGACTGAACGAAATTTGGAGTTTGGTAAAATACATGCTGTCTGCCGGCCACAGGCTCTTGAACTATAATACTTGAGTTACTGTGTGTATCACCTGAAACTTTCATTTATCACCTATCACTTAATCGTTTACCGAGACACAACACTTAAATTTTGCCGTCATTCGTTCTAGTTTTCTTCTCTCTGACTTTATTTATGCCATCTAATTCTTTCCTAGTCGCTGATGGTTGGAATGTTAATTCCAGATCTTTAAATTAATTATAAATTTTGGTGATTAGACAAATACGTGTGCTCTATGTGGCCATTTTCTCGAAAGAAAGAAAATTCCTTTCAACTATCGTTCTGATATTATTGTTACGTTCCCGTGTCAGTCAGGGAGATTTGAATCTTGATCGATTTCAAAACCGAAATCACGACTACCCCTGTTCCTTTACACGAGAGGAACCATGTATTCCTCTGGTTTTGGTCAATCTTCGTTACGAAGATTATACTCAGGATTGAGGAAGACTCGACACCCGATATATATGAAACAATTTAGTATTACAACTTGAAACAAGCTTTACCCTTAACTGGCTTTAATTGTCCACAATTTTTATAGTCTAAATTGAACGGTAGTTGTGCAGATTATTTACCCCAAATGTCTTATTAAGGCAACGGACGATTCACAGACACAAAACTGCTCGAGATTTAGACTAAATAACTAATTCTTTTGTAAACGATTGTTCAATAACAAAATAAAAGTTTTTGATTACAGATTAACAGAAATAAACTGATTTGCGGATATTCGGATTAACAAGACTGATTCGATACCTTCCGTCTTACTTGAACCTTTTCGGACCGGTGACTGACTTTGAACGAATTTAGAACTGATTTAGAACTGATCTGACTGATGAGCAGTTCTGATTGACTTTTAACTGATTTTTAACTGATCTAACCTCTCTGCGAACAGAACTGACTAATTAAAAACTGAACTAGGGGTTATTGATAGGGTGATAGACAAGCGGTGGGAGTGACTCCCACTTAGGCTCAGTTCTACCATTTCTATCAGATTTTGTCCCAGTTTCTTTGATAACTTTCCCGACAGTCCGACGCTATTCTAACCCCATCAAGAAAAGTATTCTTTACAATTTGTCGAGATTCTGGACACACACACACGAACAGCAGTATTATAGCCAAAGTCTAAGTAACTTATGGTAATTAATACCTAATTAATAAGCCTAAAATTTAGTATAACTGAATACACTGTACAAGCTGTTACATAACGACGTAACATTACCAACATTTTTTCAAATCCTCTTCTCCTTCGAAGCTTTAACGTGCTGTTTAAATTGTTGTCAACGTCATTGCACATATAGATCATCACAAAACTTTCATAGATAAGATAATGTATACGATTACACTTCGTCATATTTTATTTGCTAATTATACGTGAAATTCGTTTCTAAAGCAATGTACAGTAATTGTACAGTAATGCACCACCGTATTTGTAAAGACCTTACACATAATTCGCTACTATATAAAATTCCAAATAAATATAATTACAATTCAATTACTTTTTAATAGAAATGTCCGCCACTTTTAATCCGCTATCTTGTTTTTCAACAAAATAATATTAAATTCGTAATCAGCGATCTCGAAAACCTGAATATACCCATTTTAGAAATGATTGAATAAATTTTTAATAAAAAAGTTCGTCATTTTCCAATCGCTATTTCGTTTTTTTTTTTTTTTTTAAATAATATCAGATTCGTAATCAGCGACCTCGGAACCCCTCAAATACTAATTTCCAATAAAATGTTTTTGGGAATTTGGCTACTACTGTACCAATGATAATTTTATCAAATACCGGTTTTAAAATAATCAACTAAAGATTCAGTAGACGTGATCGTATCATAACGAAAGAAAAAAAAACGATATCACATAAAAATGCAAAAAGTTAGAGATAAACTTATCGTATAATTCCATTCAATAAATTTCAATTACTATAACTACGATAAAAAATTGTCCTTGAAATAATTTACAAAAAAAAATACACCATTATAATTAAATAAATATTAAATAATCCATACTTGTTATCATAATTGGAGATACGTTGACAATATAGAATGAAATATTGTTGAGAAATTTAAGGTTATGTCAAAACACGTTCAGATCAATTTAATAATACCACTCATACTTGAAACGTCTGGCGGAGAACTGAAAATCGTTCTCAATGAAAGACTCTCTCGACATCCACATGATCATCCATCTCTCTTACACTCTCTTTTTATCTTCTTTTCTTCTCTTTTTTTTTTCTTAATTATATAATTTCTCTCAATCAGTCTTACTGGCAACAATACGCACTATCCAACCAATGAGGAGCGTTTCATCGCCGCGTTTATTCAATCATAACGTTTCACTTTTTTTTCATTTATATAGGTCCCCATCCCGAACGTCCGTTCAAATTTTTTGAAGTAAAAATTCAAAGTGCAACACATGGTTTCTATGGTTACCATATGACATAATTGGATGAAAAAAGAGACCTAAGACAAAAATTCATATGCGAGTAAGAGAGACGAGGCATATTATATCCATTTTCGGTCTTATTTTTGTGCTTATTTTCTTTTTTTCGTGAAGTGAAAACTTCTTTAGAATCGTTGTGATTTGAAATTCGATGAAACGAAAAAGCGACACTAAAAAGAGACAAAACATATGGGATATTTCCACGTCAAATCGATCACTTTTCGACCACGACCTTTCTTTTTTTCTTTTTTGATTGGGTAACAAAATTTGAAAAAATTCTCAGAGAAGTTTTCTATGGGGTAGAAAATGATAAAAAAGTTTTAGCCACATTAAGGGGGGTCGGGATCAAAAGTGGTCGATTTGACGTGGAATCTCCCAGATACCAACATCTATAGGATTTAGCTTGCGAGAGAATGAGATAGAATATAGTATATATTATTATATCTCGGTCTTCGTTTTGTGCGATGCTTCGTAGCTTCCCCACTCTTGTCTACTATGCGTTGTATACATGTGTGCTTGTGTGCGCCTGCATATTGCCGAAACGAACCTATACTAGAGAAAAGTATCGTATATAGAGTATATAATTTATTACCGAAATAGTGGAAAATCAGGCAATGTTTTTTGACAATATAGGAAACAGAAGAATTTTTACGAACTTTTCCTAAGCATTAAACATCATTCTTATAAAATTAATAATTAAAATAATTGTTAAACAAAACACAAACAATACCATAGTGCTGTTTCCGGCCTATTTACAGTCGAAACTTTATGCTGTTACATTAGAAAATAAGGAACATTTAAAGCAGCGAATCCGTACACCATGCGTAGAACTTCCGTACGACAGTATCGTAAGAGCAACTACTGGAAATTTACTACGTAGAGTGGAATTATACCTACAAGAACATGGATTTCAATTCGAACATTTAATGTCATTTTAAACGAAATCGTTTGCGTTCATATAATTAAGGTTCCTGAATCGAATGTAATTTCGATTCCTTTCATAATAAATACAAGTTTTGTTCATTAAAGCAGATTATCATTTATTGTTAAAATTTTCATTTCTTTGCTTTCGAGGTCATCCAAAGTATACTATATATACAACATATAGTATACTATATCGTTGAATTCGTATTAATATTGGCTATAATACTGTCAAGTCAAAACTACTAGGTGCCATTTAAAAAAATAAAGGTAGCCTTAAAAAACATTAAAAAAAGAAATGTTTTTTTTTATTGCAATGTATAGTCAATCAAAAACAGATCAACTTTTGTTTAAAGTATTTTTTTGTCAGGTTTTTGCAAGTATTTGAAAAATCGTGACTAGAATTATGTGGGACACCCTATATATATATCTACATGTTCTGCCTAATACTTGCTCTGGTCCAACGTTCTACCTTATGTTTGTACGTGTGTTAGTACGTGTGTGTGTGCGCTTGCGTATTACGAAGATATTTGGGAAAAGGCGTCATAGTGTATTGACGGTGATGTATTGTTAACGTGTGTCGTTTATGTGAGTATTTTTATCATTTTAATAAAAACAAATTTTCAAGTATGCCGAAAACTAATGCCGAAAAGTGTCATGAATATCGGCAGAAAAAACAAGAAAAAAAGATTAAGAAGGTCCCAAAAAGTTCAACGGAACGTGTTCCTGAATTTCATGCACGCCGAAAAAGGTTATTAAATGTGCAAAATAATATTTCTAATGCGCGTAATAATAATGCTGAAAACTGTAGAAAATAATGAAAACGATCATCGTAAGTATTTAAATATTTTCTAATCAACAAATTTCATCCTTAATCCTTACTGCTCGTAGATCACATGCATAATTTCCATACATCGCGTGTATAACCTTATTTATTATAAAGTTTACATTACGTTTCGAAAAACAATGATAGAAAATTTTATCGTTGTCAAAAAACAATAGTATCCACAATTGAATTGCGATCTGATTTTTAAAGACTAAACTTGAATCGACTTAAAACAATTGAGAAATTATTATATGATTTTATAAATACAAGGAAAGGGTTGTCACTGTTTACCTTTAACTGCCAAAGTTTGAGGTTATGCACAGAATCTTCAATTAGACAGAATAGCATCGTCGTCGAATTTTCTTATTCTTTCCGAGACATTGATGAATAATGAAGACATTGTAGACATTCTAAATTTTGATATTGTAGTTTAATATAAAAGACCACATAAGAGGGCAGGTGGAGTTGCAATTTTTCGTAATATAAATGATGGAAAATTTGTTATTCTACAAATAAATACAATATCAATGCACAACTGAAATTATTGTCTGGTCAGTTTTCTAGAGTGGGAGAAATATGTACTTGTCAAAGCAAATTGGACAATGGTAATTCAGTTATAATTATAGCAATTTACATTTATCCCAACCAATCAATAAATACAATTATTGATTTCATCCACGAGAATTTAATAAAGTACACACCAGAAGTATCGCGGATTCCTAAAAAAGATTACGATAAAATTCCAATGATTTTAAGTGGGAATTTTAATCTGAATTTTGCATTGGATACAGTGCTCCCTTTAATTGAGTTCCTAAATACCAAATTAAATTTAAAAATGTCCAAAGTTAAAAAACTTTGGGTCTACGTAATGTAATATATGTAGAATAAAATGTAAAATAACTTTTTAACTTGGAAAAGATATTATAATAAATAAACCTTACAATTATCCTACTCTTGATACTCTGCATTCGTTTCATTTTCTCGAAGTCTAGTTTTCTGAAAGTTTCACTTTTACCATGTGTGAACTATACACATGTTTTTTTTTGTATAATAGAGGAATATACGTAATTTTTGCTGACGTGATACATTGACATGAATTGTTACAAAAAATGTTACAAAGATAAGAGCGAACGGATTTAATTGTTACAGTATAACCATATTATTATTTAAGAAAATTTTATTTCTAGATCGCAAGGGTACAAAATTGTCTGTTGTTGTTTTTCAGCAAATTATTTGCTAGACGGTTCGGATGGTTTATTTACTTATGAAAGAGAGAATACTTTGTAGTGGGCTCAGGTCCATATGCGCCTTCTTTCAAAGGGGGAGTGAAGATGCTGTAAAATGTTCAGTGATGTATAGCGTATATTAAAAGCATACCATGAGCCAAAAATCTGTGTAATTGATCAATTACATTTGTACTCGCTACAAGTATGTATCATAATTTATTTTCATAATTGTAATATCTATATTACGATATTCATACAGCTAACCTAAATTTTTAAGTAATTATCCAAGTATTGCGTTTCAGATAGAACAAAAGAGAAATCTAGATAAATAGTGCGTCCCAAACAAAACCTAGTTCTCATTTATCTATTTTAATTTTGTAAGTATCCTTTTATAAGATAATAAAAAGTTCTAGTTTATATATAATTTCTATTAGTTAAAATAATTATAAAATATTACTACTAAGCAAGTTATACATGATATATATGTATTCTATTGTTTATAGATCTCAAGATGCCGAAAAAAAATTATCAAATCTCAAAGGAGAGTACAGATCAAAATAAAGTAACGAAAGTTAAACCACCACAGAAAACTGAAAAGGAACGAGTAAGGAGTAAAAAGCACGAAAGCATTAAAAGAAAATACAGCAGCCCATCTGTGAGATGATCAACCCCAATCTACAAGTAGTTCTGTGAAACGTGAATTGAGTGTTGTAAATCAGGATTCTTCCTAACCTGATACTAGAGAATGCTGATATATTATCAAATTATCTCACTCGGCTAAATAGCCAAGTTAAATTAATGCAAATGTAAGTTGAAGGTACTGATAAAATTTTTATCGTTCAGACTGATGTACATCAATGAAGTTTGTCTCAGCTTCTACAAAATCTAACCACAAGTTTGTGTTGGCAAAATAATATAGCTTGGAATTACATACCAAAGAAATCAGATGCATAGTGATGTCAAGAGTATAGACTGCGGCAAAAAGACACTGATGCTATGAAAAACTAGCTGAATCTCTTGTTGCTTTTTCAAGGATTAAGTTGAATGCAATACAACTGGATCCACGGACAACATTAACCGAAGTAATGGAAATGGAGGCTAATATCCATGATACTGCAATTGTTGCAGAACCATCAACATCAAATGTTCGATCGATCAATCAAACTGATGTAGATCAATGAGTACCGTACAGTGCTTATCACAAATATTATCAAGCTCATCAGGAGCTTACAACGAGATTTGTCCGCAATAAATTTAGTTATATTTGCACCATTTGTGATAAATTATGGTTTAAAAAAGACTTTAGAGAACCGCTAGATGCACATTATGAAATTCTACAGACAATTCTACTAGATATATTTATTAAGAATATTCTGGCTTGCAACACGTACTTTTCTACTCTGAACAAAAAAAAATTCCAGCGATGTCTACTTATAATAGATTTAAATTTCCTCAAATCCCTATTCATTTACTGCTACAAGATTTTATTACGGAAAGACTAATCTCATCATGTTGATGGACAATATGGTATATATGGACAAGTCTTCAATGTACCGGTGTCTGTAAACACAATGATTAAAATGCTTCTGAGAAATATCAACGATGACCACTGCATAAATGTGCACATCAAGCTCAGAAAAATTCATTGGACGAACTATTTATATAGTTTTGTCGATAAACAAATGATAAAAGCTTGGCTAGAAATTTTGGTATCATCTCCGTTTTACAAAACATACAACATCGACATTGACAAAACAATTTTCAATGATGATTAAGTTTTTCCAGAAATATCTCTATTCCTATTTGGATCAACACCAAAAATTCAGAGAAGAGGTCAAAGTAACACTATTTACGATAGCATCAAGTGAGTTGAGGAGATTGGATCGACAGGTTGCAACTCTACACCGCTTATTATGCGTGGCGATAAAAATAATGCAATTTCAAGCTTGCTATTGTCTTACAATAGCATTTAACCATGTGGGAAGAAAGACTATGATCACTCTACAGCAAATTGAAGATGATCAATGTATCAATAACTATATTTTTGCGTTGCTTATGTAGCTGAATATGTTAATAAGATTTACAAAGTAATGAGCAGTCTTCAACAGCTAATCATTCAAACTGTGAACGAGTATCTGGAATTCGACATTATTGACATTACACGAGAAATTGACGTCAACATGCTTAATAATGTAGAATTGATTAGTCAGGAGGCAGCTTGGTATTTGTTACATGAGCAAATGTCAAAATGCTCCACTATCATAATTGGTATTCCAACAGTATGGCCTGTTGAACGACAAAGATTAAAAAAATCAAATCAAGAACTAGAAGAGATGACTATTAGACAAGATTCGACAAACATCTGAAAAGACAATTGGTTTGACAAGTATAAGAAAAGACATGTGGATTTAGACGGCATTACTTTAACGCAATTTATTGCAAATAATACAGTTCATAGTGGTGGAACCTTTGTTAAGAGAAAAATACGTCGCATTCTTCGTTATATAAATTTTGATATGGGGCAAGATTGAAATGATTATAAATAGAAATACTCTACATTTTCAATTTCGCAATGAAAAAACAGAAATAGTAGCTGAATTAAAATTTGTCCAAACCTATGATGAAAATGAAGATTTAATTTTAAACCATTGTAAAGAGTTTGAATCGAGTTTAGATATTCAAAAAAACTATTGAAATTTGTCAGAATTTATGTTGTGAAAATGAATCAGAAGGCGAAGCAAAGGCATAAAATGTTGCAAATAAATGTCCTGATACCAATCCATTTCAAGAGTTGTACAATAATCCAAGTTCCAATATAAGTGCAGTTATAACTTTGGCTACATTAAACAAACTTGAAGCAATTGCGAAGAGAAGATTCGTGAATTAATGAGAATGGCGAATAAAAAACAAAGTGAACTATTGACATACGTAATATCACATCTACTATCATTGAATGGCTCTCTTCAAATGAATGCGATAAAATATTGGTCATTAAATTAATAATGGATATCTACAATCGCTTCGCCAACAGCGATGCAATTTGTAATGCACTTTAACTGAAAAAGTTGCAGTGGCAATTGATGGTACAACTTTACATACAATTCTTAAAATATCACTGTCCAAGTTACTCCCTTTGAGCATTGAAGTTGGTTATCAATGTCATACTTTATTCAAATATGTCAAAATTTTAATCATCAATGAAGTGAGTATGATCAGCATGGAGTTACTTTCATAAATTAATTCACGTATGAAACAAATAACTAAGAATTTTTATATAATTTTCAGAGGATGGGCATGGTTTTGACAGGAGATTTTCTACAACTTCCACCAGTCAGAGCTATTCCTATCTACAAGCGAGTTAAACAGAGTATGGTTAAACCACTTTTACGGCAATGATTCAAATTTTATCAACTGAATCGAATGATGAGGCAAGCGAAGCAAAAATTTGCAACAATACTAAATGAAATTGACAATGTCCAACTCCTTTATCAAAGTGAGTTAAAATTGATTTAAGCACGATTTTTTTACAGTTCATGATAATTTAGTAATGATTTCACGGCAGTGAATGTCTTTCATTTATCTTGATTTAAAAAATGGACTTGGATTTAATCAAAACACGCATAGGTGGTTTGATTTCGTTCTTTTCAGTAACTCATAGGATGTGCAATTTTATTTAGCTTTTTTTTGTGCTCACAAGGAGACATTACAGTTTAATACAAACGGATTTTTACGAGCTTTGGTATATCAGTAGTATACTTTTAAGGTGTTCTCACGGTAAAATATTTCGGTGAACTGGCTAGCCAATTTTGAGAAAAAAGCTGTTAAAGTTTGCTTTTTTTTTATATATACGTACTTATATACTTGTAAATTTAAGTATTTGTGTTTTAAGTAGTAGCGTTCTCTTCTGTCGCACCAATGGGGATAGTCATCGATTCTTCGTGGGGGAATATTTTTTTATATAAGTTTTTTCTGTCTATAAGTTTAAAAATTTCTTTTTACATTTATTAATTTTTAATTATATACAGGAAAAAGAATGAAAATTGTCACAAAAAATTTGTCATTTTTCTTCTAGTTCATAGTCGCCTAATAATACACTATCTTCAGATTTTTTTAACGGTTTTCTACGCATTTATTTTATTTCGTTCATTAGTTTTTTCTCACAACTTGTCGCCTGCACGTTAACATGCCAGTTTATTACCGGATTTTGCAGCGATTAAACTATCTCATATCGTTCAATAATATATTACATATAATATCCTTATATTTTGAAATTAAAATGTCTGTTACTAAAAATATTGATAGCATATCAGAAGTTGAAAATAAAGCATATGAAGAATCAATATACAGTGAAATGGCAAAATTGAGATTCAAAGATGCAACTTTCAAAGTTTGCTAATTGATTCAAAATATTCAGCTTCAATATCACATAAAGCTATATTGATGGGTGAAGAAATTTTTTTATTGGAAATTCTTGCTGAAATCATTACTGTGAGTGGTGAAGAACACATAAAAATGAAACGTGTGGGGAAAAGATTTCTGAAGACGTCAAAGGTGATGTCTCATCTGACGATTATGAACTAGAAGAAAAACGACAAAAAAAGAATAAATCAGTTTGGATTATAAAGTTAAAGTCGTTAACATAGCAAAAGCACATCTTTAGTGAAACCTGCGGACGTTACAGGTAAGAAAATATTGTTGCTTAAAAGAAAAGAAGCTTTTATCAAAATGGGAAAAGGAATAAAAAAGGAGAAGGTGATATATTAGATAACATGATTATATATCACATTATATATTAGATAATCTTGGTCTTTGATCGTTTTATTGAAATTAGGGAAAATTGTTAACAGATAACGACTAGGAATTTGCAGAAATGGGCTTTAGTAGCTGCAGGACAATTTCCGGATTTGGAATTCAAAGCTACGGAAAGTTGAATGACAAAATTTAAAAACAAGCATGGAATTTGTCAACGAAAGATTAAGAAATTTGTTTCGAAAAAGGAAGCAGCAACCATAGAAGAAATTTTGGCGTCTGCAGCAACCTTTCAAAAGCAAATTCATTCAAATTCATACCAAATTTTATTGCAGACTATGTTATTAATACAAACAGGTATGTTAATGCAAAAAATCTCAAAATTATCTTCAATTTTAATTTTACACTTAACTGCTTCATATAACTTATGTCGTTTCCTTTTTTTCAGGGTGCCAGTATCAATTTAGCTATAGTAGAACTCATACTAAAAAAGGAAAAAACTTGTTTCTGTTAGAAGGCTAGATATTAATAAAGTGACGTATTCTTATACGGCGCATTATGCCATTATTTTATCTGGAAAAATTTTACCCAAAGTATTTGTATGTCTGCAAGAAGCCACCGCACACTTTGGACCTAGAGTCCAGAAAAAGCAGTAAATTATTATGTTGAAAAATATACAAACATCGTAAATTCATTAAAGTCTGGAAAGCTCGTGACAGAATTTTGCACTGACTTCCTCAAAGATTGCTTAAAATCTTACTTAAGAAAAGAACACTTTCTTCTCATTATAGACTTTTGGGGACGACAAACAAAGCCTGAGTTATATGAGGAAGTATTCCAGGCTGAGGCGATTGATCGCCTACCTGTACTATTTAAGTTATTCCTCCGAAGTGTATTCCACTAGTTCAACCTTTCGACGTTTATTTTTATATCTAGGTTAAAAATCTGATAAAGCGTATTCAGAATTGTGTATATTTATCGAACACAATCGAGATCTCAATTCTTGTGAAGATAGCATCAAGATACAATCAATAGTTCATCAATTTTCATCATGGATAATTTTTAATAAAATGATTCGATAATTTTAGTACGCTTAGAACTATCAATTAATTGTAAATGAAAGAGAAATATTTTTAAATGTTAATGAAATGTGTTTTCCAACCATTCTATTAAAAAATCGTTACTCTTGTAACAAGTCATCTTTCATTAATTGTGCAAGATGTGAACAAATTTATTGTTCTTAATATTTCTATAATAACAACTTTAATTCTGGCACCTGCGTATAATAAATATTAATGGATATACCAAAAAAATGTCCAAACTCATAAATATAGAAAAATAATAGAGAATTCAGCGAAGCTTGTTGATTTTCTGCAGGAAAAATTTTATTTGTAGATGAATAATGACCACAATATCTCAACAACTAGGTCTGAAACCACGATAGATGCTTTATTTTCTCGATTTTTTAACAAAATCGAGTCGAGAACAAACGGGTTTTATTTTAGATATCGTAAAGCCATCGTCTTCACTATCTACGAAATTACCTGAAGATAATCTACAAATAAATGAAATAAATGGAATTATAATATTTGCATTCCGTCTATTCTGTTTGTTGCATTTTACGGCACTTTCACTTACGAATCTTCTTAATATACATATCTTTTGTAAAATAATATATCTGTCGAATTTGAATAGTCATCTGCGATAAAGAAGTTTAACTTCAAAAGCGAGTAATGAGTTGTTTTTATTTAGCTACAAATCCGAAATTATAATAGCTACAAATCTATAAAAATTCTGAATGATAGCTACTATTATATAAGGATAAAGTGAGTTATTTGAATAATTGATAATTTGAAAAATTGATTATTCAATGGCAAAAACCCCAAGTTATTCAAATGTGAAATTTAGATCGCTGTGCGACAGAAGTTAAAATGTATATAAAGTTTTAAAACTTGGAGTATATTATTTTGTTTATTTATTTCAAATCATATGATCGAGTAAAAATTCAAAAATACCTAAAATAAGGATCACCGTAATATTCAATATACTTAAATAGCAGAACAATATACTATGCCAGTTGTGAATATGCTATAATCATTGTAACACGAAAACCTTACCTTAAGAGGCACACCTGGTGTGAAATTTTGAAAAAATCGATTTTTTGTTTGCATATTTTGATAGTCTATATCTTTAAAAATAACATACTGAAATTTCAAATAAATATTTCAAATAGTTTTAGAGTTACAGCCTTCTAAAGAGTAGCCGCTCAGGAATTAGAAATCAATCATTTTATCTTTGAACGCGTTTTTCTCAAAACTAAATTTTTTAAATTGGCTGTAATTGTAACTCGAAGAAAAATCATCTCACCGCTTTGATTTTTTTTCTGCTTCTGTGTACAGTGACCTAAAAGTTTTTCGATTGTATGAAAAATGTAATTTTGGCGGGCAAAAAATCATCTAATTTTTGAGCAAAGTTCGATTTTTTTTTCAGTCTGCTATTTTGTTAAATTTCAATTTTGTTTCACAATCCTAGGTCATTGTATAGGTAATACCTTCTAGATTAACAATATTTTTTTTTGTTTTATTTCATCCACGGTGAAGACCGCAATCACTGCAGCAGTGGAGGACCTTTTTTTTTTTTAGTGATTTAGGAGATAGCAAATAACTCGCTGAAAATTAAATTTTTTCATTTAAAAATTTCAGTGTGTATTCGTTAATAATGTATAAACATATCCTCTAAATTTAAAAACATTTCATGCAGTAGTTTTCTTTAAAAAAATTCCCAAAAATCACTTTGTTTTTTAGACGGTTACACTAGGTGTGAGGCGACCTTAAGGCGACATCAATAATGGCGCCAAATCAATCTATATAGTCTTTTTTAATATTCATCTTCACCGCTACGCGGCGTACACATATAGAATTTTTCCGTTACTAAAATTCTCGTCTTGAGTTACGAAGCCTAGAGAGTACTAGAAACATCAGTGCACTAATTGCCCTATTTGTTTTATATGTTTATTTATAAAATAACACGTAGTTAAATCTGAACCTCTGAAGATCACCGACGCTCTCGTAGAGAATTATCGTATTCAGTATTTTCTTATTTTTAACAACACAAATTCGATGAAAACGCGTATCTCGGACGTCTTCCTCGTATAGAGCTCCGTTTCTTGAGTGTTCAAATAAGACAATACTTATCTTATAATATGTCCAACGAGTGTTAGTTGGTATGATGTGTTAACCTCTAAAATAAACTGTGTTATATATTTTTATTAAACTATAGTGTGCTGTAATTAGTAATTAATATTACTATCATTGATATCATTTAATGAGGAGATTAAGGGGAGAGAAGATAAAATTTAAATTAAAAATAAATTATTTTCTTGTTATTCTTATAAAATATTAGTGTGACATTTTAAGAAAATATGTCAGCAAATTTTGAGAACTTAATTCAAAGTATTACTTGTTGTAACTTATAAACGAGACTCCCTTCCTATACTTTGCATTCGTGTATAGTAGAGCGGAGTCGAATTTGACTACTTGTTTTTGAATGTTCCCTTACTTTCCAAGCTTTCTATTTTAAAAAATTTGTGTGAGTAGATATTTTAAGAAGGTCCCAAAGGCGACGTTGCTGTTAGTTCTGTTCAATTTACTTTTGGAGCTGTATTCTATACGGAACGAAAATTTCTAAAACTAATAAATATAAAGATGAGTTCAGATTCTAAGGGAAATATAAAACGATCAACTCGGTTGCGTAAACGAAAATTTTATGGAAATCAGCACACCACAAGCTGTGATGAGTCCGACCAACCGATTCTAAGAGCAAGAAAATTTTTAAATACTAATAATGAGGATGAGGACGTCCATTACAATTCTTTTCATGGTTATCGGCTTATCGAATTTTTCACGGTATTTACTGCATTGTCAGAACTTGTTATCTGTCGTAATTGCAAACAGACAGTGAGATTTGATGAGGCTGGCAATCGAGGCTTGGGTTTCAAGATAGTTATACTATGCTCTTGTGGTCGTAGAGACATCAACTCAGGACAACTTGTTCATGGTGCATTTGAAGTTAATCGTAGGATTGTACTTGTTATGCGTCTTTTAGGCATTGCCAGAGAGGGGATCAATTTATTTTGTAATTTTATGGACATATGCGACGGCTTGAGCGAATCTACCTATCATAATGCTATTACGCATTTATACAACGCTTCAAAAACAATATTTCAATCTTGCTGTAAAAAAGCTGTGGAGAAAGAAAAAGAAAAAAATGAAAAACATAATAGGCCGACATCCCATTTAAAAGTATCGGGCGATGGTTCATGGAAAAAAAAGGACTTTAAATCTTCATATAGTATTACAACGCTCATTGGATGCTACTCTGGTAAAGTTATAGATTTAGTAATAAAAAGTAGCCGCTGTCTAGAGTGTAATTACTGGAAAAATAAAGAAAATACTGAAGAATATCGTGAGGGATATGAAAAACATATGTCAGTTTGTCGATTGAATGACCAGATTGCAATGGAAATCGAATCAATTAAAGAGATGTTTTTGAGATCGGAAGAATTGTTTGGTGTAAAATATAGTAATTATATGGAAGATGGAGACTCAAAAATGTTTCAAGAAATACTTGATATAAATCCGTATGGTGACAATTTTCAAGTGATACAAAGTGAGTTTCTTGGCTACGTACAAAAGAAAAATGAGAATTTCAACTGGACCGTTTGGTCTCTTGCTCCACAGCACATACAATCAGGGTTAAAAATCATTGAAATTGCCGCTTATATAGCAACTGGATTGTTCAATGAAGGATATAAATCTATTTTACAAATAATGAACAAAATAGATATAATAATTGGCAGACAGTGTAAATCATACGTAGACAAACTAGAACAACGGAGAGTGATTAAAGAATATCGACGCAGCTTGGTAGTGGCTAAAGAAGACCGTCAATTAAATCAATCACATCAAGAGGAAGTTATTGTGAAAAATGAGTTCTTTGAAGATACAGAAGGACTATCATATGACACTGAAATTGCTAACTAATTGGTAAGTTACTACAATCATTGAATTTTGATATACTCAAACTTTAAATGCGTTTTTTTTGAAACATTATTTTTCATAATGGTGAACACGGTAACTCAAAAACTTTTTTTTCAATCGCTCTGCAATTTCTAACATGTCTTTTCAATGATATTAATTTCTATATGTATCAACCTAATTTAAAAGATTTGTTAAAAAGTTTATTTTTGTAAAGCATTGAAAAATTTGACTTAAAATTCAAATAATTGTTATAAAGTGTTTCATTCTGCCAATTTTTTTTTTTTTTTTTTTTTTAATTTTTATTAAACGTA